TGTGAGCGATGTGACAAGTTTCGGTGTTGGTAACAAGAAGTTCCAAAAGCGAACATCTCAGGTCGAGGCACAACCAGGAACCCCTGTGGCCAAAGTGCCGAAGGTAGCCACTGTAGAGGCCTCGCCAAGTGCGTCGACGACCGTCTTACCGCTAAAAAGGACCCCCAAAACGAAGCGCACGACGCAATCTCCCGGCCAGAAGAGGCCGAAAAAGGCGAAAACTGGAGAAACTGAAAAGCCAGTCGAGGGGAAGAAGACACCAACGAGGAGGCCAAAAAAGCAGCAGCAGCAGCAACAGACTCCACAGGAAAAACAGCACCCTGCTCCGGCAGCACCGACGCCAACCAAGAAGCGTGCTACCCTAGAGACCTTCTTCTCAACACCCTCGGCAAAAAGGAAAAAGGTGGTTGGCGGTGATAACCCAACTGATGCCATCGTAATTGATTAGGTTGCCAGGGCAGTTTGGATTCTTTTGGTATCTCATCCTGCAGACAGCCTTTTCCCCTCCTCATGCGTCTGATCTGTTGGTAGTAGTACCCTGCATTGCAATCATGTTGTCTCATCGGTGACCTTTAACTCCCCCTTCTAAATTATGATGACAGAACTTCCAGATCAATGAATCTATTTTCTACGTGTGAATAAATTTTTTGTTTATTTGAATTTATGGCTTGCCTTCTTCCCTGCTTCATCAACCTCCGGCTTCTTTGACGCGAAGTATTTCTCGGAGTCTACGGAGCCCGTCTTTTTTAGCGTAAATTCCGTTATTTCTTACGTATAATCGGGTAGTACCACTTGACTAGGCCTGGTATACTTGGGAGACGTTACTCAAAGACATTTGTGACCAGATAACTGTCCTACGACCGGGAGTGATCTCTGGGTAGGCTAGAAACGACTACCTGATCAGAGTGGTAGAGATCCACGTACCTCACTCACCACTTTTGGCTTCTTTGACCCATTTACGTAAATCGTTTAAGAGCACAGTGCTCGATTTTGATGGAACGGTTAGGGGTTGGGCACTCTCCATAGCTAATACAAGCGAAAACGCGAGTCCCAGGAAGTAACTGAAAAAAAACAGATTCGATAGCTGGGACAATAATTTTATTCGCCTGACGTTTCTAAGTCCGTCGCAGATCCTTCATGAGAAACGGTAGCGGCAACGGGTAATTCATACACAGGAAGCTGCAGTATTTATAGGAAGCAGTCGCTGGGCTCCTTTATACCTATGAGAATTAACGGCTCCTTCCGATCGAATAAATTTGTGCGCTCCCTCAACCGGTGCAGGCGCAAACGAAATGACCAATGAAACCGCATCGACCGCACGTTTTCGCGAATGATTCCGCACATCAAAAACGACTCGGGGCCGTCGGATGCCTTCTCGCACCACCTAGAGTCGCACAAAGGCCGGAGGCAGCCATTAGGCGTCGTATAGTGAAACCAAAAGACCCACTGCCACGGCAAGAAACATCGGGAGTCGTTTATAGGATCTGGTGCAGTTGCGGACAAAGCGACTATGTTAGAGAAACTGGGAAATTTCTGTAGCCGAGAATTACCGAACACGCAGCAA